ACACCCTATTGAGGGGTCTCTTCATAATACCTTACAGGTAAACTACGTGAAGCGTTCCTCTTTTGAGTTTCTAAATTGATGCTAAAAACCATTTAAATTTTCCTCAGTTCCTGTTAGAAGTTCCTAACTTCCTGTTACAAGTTCCTAACTTCCTGTTCTGTTCTGCGCGTTGCAATTGGCTAACAAAAATAATCGACCAATAACAATGCTCAGAACAGAACAGGAAGTTAGGAAATTGAAACAGGAAGTTAGGAAAATTTAAAATGAAGTTTGTTGGATTGGAACATTACAACTGCCGATAGGAACATTGCAAATTCCCTCAAGGGATTTGCAAAGAGTTTTTCAAATTTGCAAACCTAATGAGGAAAATTCCAAATGAGTTACGAAGTCAAAAGAGGAACACTTCACGTAATTTACCTGTAAAAATTTTGGAACCTCATTGGATACATTTTTGGAACCCCCATGGATATCTTTCTACCCCTTTAGGATATTGTTCCTGCCCCTTTGGATATCACTAAAACACATAGGATATCCAGACCTCAATAAGGGGGCTATTAAATGGAATGGCCCATTTGACTTGGTGAGTGGTGACTACCACCAAAGCAAAATAAAAGCATGCTGCCCTGCTTTACATAGAAATCAGAATAAATTTTGAAGCATTTCCACTGTCACTTGTAACGATAATCAGAATTGATGAGAAAATATGGAGTCTTTCTGTATGACTGTATATTAGTGATGTGATCTCACTGTTCATTAAAGGCTAAAATAGTTTGAAACACGTGTGAAAATAAATTCAGTATAAATGTACAGTACGTACCTTGATATACAGAACAATCAATCAATATCATTTCATATTCCAGGCAACACTATCAGTGTTTATTCAGTCGCATTTGAAGCCGAATAGCATGCATCTGATATATACGAGGGTTGCCAGAGCGAACAAAACGATGTCACAAATATGAGCGCCATACTCCGACAAATTGATACAATATGATGATGAATGTTGCATAGTTTTGTGTACATGTGTGTTCACAGCTTATATCTGAAGTATTTTTCGTAAAATTTGTTAAAACGTTGAGAATAAATACATAAACACTCAACAAAACATGTATATTTTTAAGCAAGAAAATCGTAAGCGCCAGCGCTAATTGTAGTCAGCAACATAACGTTGTCGTTACTGCGCATGCGATAAATCTCCAAGAATCTTGGAGATTTCATCGTATTTTACCAGGGTCTTCCTCAGCTGGCGCGCCACCACGAAGAAGACCCTGGGGACGAGGTTGTATTGTCAGATAGCTGGTGAAATCAGCTACATTTTGGTACAAGCTATAACATTGTATAGCTAGAATATTGAGCGATAATTCGTTGCCTAAACGAGGGTGTAAAAATTGCCGTCGGAATATACATTCTAGTCGGAAATCAGAATATATATTATGTCTGGCTTTAGGCACGAGTTTCAATCGCTTATATTCAGGGACGCCGGAACGATGTGAAGGCAAGGGGGCAGATTTTCGTGCAAGGGCACTTTTGAAATGATATATACTAAGAGATGTTTACAAAACATTGGGAGTTGAAGTTCGCCTAATCATGTTTTCTATTTATTCGATGATAGGGGTCTGAGGGGGTTCTCTGCCAGGCGATTGTGCTATTCTTGAAGCTCGATGAGACGATGACTGCATTTCTTGCGTTTTCCGAAGCAACCAACCATAATAATCAAGTTGCTGATGCACTCGCAACATCACATTACGATATCCGTGTAGAAGATGGTAAATTGTTCCATGACAGAAGATGGTATCACAGAGGACAGCAAGTTTATGTCGAATCAAATTCGTAAAAGAATCGTACTGACATTTCTGACAATTCGCTATTTCGCCAAGGCAATCCTTTAAATTAAAAGGGCACTTTTGCCCCCCTTGCCCCTCCTGGTAAAGGGCAACGGGGGCGGCTGCCCCTCCTGTCCCCCCAGTTCCGGCGTCCTTGCTTATATTTATTCGAAATTTAACGACATACACCCCTAACGTGGATGTTTTGAAAGCTTGTGAAAATGCCTACATTTTAGTGGAATTTATATTTGCAGGTTAGTAGAAAACTCGCTGAGAAAACGTTCGCAACAAACTTTTGTCATTTTTCATATAAATATGTAGTTAAAAACATTTTATAACAGACACAGGTGGAAAGCTTATTAAAATTGAAACGGCCTAGTATTTTGAAAATGATGTGGTACTGCCAGACGTATATCAAAAATCGAGCTTCAATTCAACAGTATTGATAATTGTATTGCTATAAAAACTAACCCACTGTGTTTCCTCCAGAATAATAGAATATCAGCCATTCAGCCTTGCACAAATTTTTTTGAGGTTCTTTATTTTACTGCTTACTTGTTTGTTCGAGGATCTGACACGACGCGCAAAGGAGTTTAGGAATCCCGCCAAAACTTGGCTTTATTAAATTAATAAATTATTGCAGTAATAATTCCGGGTTTTAAAGATTCCGGCTTCTCTCATTCCAGGTTTTAAAGATTCTTAAAGAAAACTTGCTCGTCTTTAACCGGCTTAATTGTCGCTTTGACAGAGCTATTTTTAAAACCATTGTTTATATGAACTTGCAACCAATCAAAATCTTTCATGATGCTGATCAACCAATCAGATTTCCCGTCCACCAGATGGATTTTAACCCCATATCCGTTCCGTTCCACATTTTAACCCCATCCATGATCCGTTCCGTTCCGCATTTTAACCCCATATCCGTTCCGTTCCGCATTTTAACCCCATATCCGTTCCGTTCCGCATTTTAACCCCATATCCGTTCCGTTCCGCATTTTAACCCCATATCCGTTTCGTTCCGCATTTTAACCCCATATCCGTTCCGTTCCGCATTTTAACCCCATATCCGTTCCGTTCCGCATTTTAACCCCATATCCGTTCCGTTTCGCATTTCCGTTCCGTTCCGCATTTTAACCCCATATCCGTTCCGCATCCGTTCCGTTCCGCATCCGCTTCCGCGTTTTAACCTAACCCGTTTTGTGTCAGGCCCTATTCTGTGATTAGGGCCTGAACTTCAGGTTAGGGTAAAATGGGAACTGGGATTCATCCATTTTTAGACTGGGAAAATGGGATTTGGGTTGCTGAGACTGGGATTTGGCCACTGGGAATGGGAAATGAAGTCCTCAAAAATCAGGGAATGGGATTGAGCTAGTAAATGCGAGTTGATTCCCAATTTTTCTACGTTTTAAGTATTTTAAAATTTTTGGTGTCTTTGGTTATGATTTTTGTTGTTAACTATATTATTCACAGCACTACTTTCGAACAGGCATACTCTGGCGCCCGGAATTCTGGATTTTCTGATTATGCGTGTCTCAGAATGCTGCAAATGCCATTTCCGGGATTCAAATTTAAAAATTTTCCGTGCCTTCGGCACACACGGTGGCTTAAAAGTCTTAAAACTTTCAGACATTCTGAATGCACCACTCGTATCAATGTATACGATAATGGTTCCGTCGAATGTCAGCTTATGTTTAGTTATGTCTAAACGAGAGATTAAATGTCATTAAATTTTCCGGTTAAGTACAGTTTATCCGTCTGCCTCTTCCTCCTTTTGTATGTGTCGTTTTTGTTCTCATCACGGAAACTAGAGGCTTTTGCTTCATTTAGTCCGTCAACAGTTTGGTCGAGGTAATCGAGGAAATCGTCTTCGTCGTCAATTACCGTTTTGTTCTCACCTCCTTCGGCTTTATCTTTGCCTTCCGGTCGGCCGTTAAACAAGTCATTCATCTCCATTGTTTCCATTTTTATTTAAGTCTAAAGATAATTCCTGTTCGTAGTATCTTCCTAAAATGTCTTCCCCATCCTTCGAATCCTTAAGACTGTACATGTTGGGATCTCCCCAAAACACCGCTGTGATGACGTACAGTTTGTAGTCGAAATTCGATTCATATCCTTTTTAAACGTTTTATGTTTTACCTCCACCTTGACATGATCCCCGACTTTGAACTTAGGTTTTGGAAAACTGTCCAGTGGATATCCGTTAACCCTTATCCAAACTTTGTCCTTGTTCTCCTCGTTCACATACACCTGTTTCATCCCGATCGTCCTGTGGGTGGAATTATTATAGGATTTGGTGAAGGCAGGTACAAACGTCCACCCAAACCTTCGTCTTGTTTTTCGTAAAATATTTCCACATTCTTGTTTTCAGAGTCCTATTAAATCTCTCGAAGAGTGCAGCTTTCCGGAAGGTTCTCGTGGAAAAGTAATGGACATCGTGATCCTTTAACAACGTCTTTACTCTTACGTTGTAGAATTCTTTTCCGTCGTCAAATGTGCTGCTTTTGGATATCTGTCAAACATTTCCTTAAATTGTGCGAGTACCTTTTCAACGGCTTTCGTCATACTTTCGGTATTTTTTCTCCAGACGGGAACAGCGAAAGCATACCGACTCAGAACTTCTATGGCAGTCAAAATCCAACGGTTTCCCTTATTCTTGTAGCTGAACTTACTCATGTCCACAAGGTCCATCTGGATCTGCTGTGCAAGTCCGTCCGCATATGTCCTTTGGGTTTTGTAATGCTTCCTGGTTGGTTTATTGTGCATTTTGTGTTTGTAACCATTCTCTGACGTTCTTCCTGCTGACACCCGGCACACCTTCTTCCTTTGCCTTTTGGTATAGTTTTTCGATCGACATGTACCCACCTTTTACGTTACAATATATTTCTCGAAGAGCTACATCCAATTGCAAACTCATTTTGTTATCGGTAAATAAAACATGATGAAGAAGATAACGACTTACATCAAGGACGAAGGGGTTACCCTAAATCTTCGGGATCCTCTGATCCTTACCCACGAATCCAAACTTTTTGTAAAAGTGTTTGAAATTACAAAAACGTTCGCACGGGTTACAACGACTACATTTCCGTAGATGGAAAGAAAGTTATGATGGATGAAGGATCAGTATCAGTTAAACAGCTTGAAAAAATATGGAGGAGAACGGACTGACGTTCAAGGAATATGCAGACGGAAAAAATAAAGATTGACCTCGATAGTGGGACAAAAACGGTGGGACTTCCAAATCTCACGGGGATTTTGGGATACCGATCCTCCAACGGTACTACATACAACCCACACATCAGCGACCGTCCCGTAGATATCGGACCAGACGGAAGTCAGAGTGTCATCATCACCTCCCTTCCGATCGACGGAACCAAGCCTCTTTTCGGAATCGTGACCAAGTACAATGACATTGAAAGTCAGGTACGGGTGGATGCTGGAAGGTACAACGAAATCCGGTTTAAAATCGGATCCAACACCGGAGTTGTTCCGGGAGATGTTTTGTTAGAACTTTACATAAAATAAAACAATGAGTGAGGATATCTTTCGCAACTACTACGGAAAGAATTATGAGAAAGTGAAGGCGGCAAGACCCATTGAAATCTGGATAAAGAAAGAAAATTTTAGGAAAAAGTATCCCAACGCAACCATGTCTAAATTTGACTTTGAGGTTACCTTTGCAAAGGACGGAACCGTGGAGTCCAGAGACATATCTTTTAAGATTGACAATCTTACGAGCTATGACATTACGTCTGATACGTTCCGTTCAAATCCCGAGTAGACTAAATTTCTGCACTGGGTGGACGGATGGCGAAGCGTTCTTCCGGACATAATTTTTCGTCCAAACAAAGATTTTAAAATGGATGTGCAAAGTTACATTACGGAGACCGAAAGTTTTCTAACGAAATTAGATCCCATTAAACTGACGTACATCAATCCTAAGGGTATCTTCATCGATAAGTTGTCGTTCGACTACCATTCCGATTCCTACTTTTGCTCCCTGGCTGCATCCTACGTCGCTACGTTCAAGTGTGGAATTTCCGAGGATCATCTTACGAATACGTAGTAACCTCCATCGTTCGCTTTCATCTCCATTTCCACCTTTCAAGATTTATGCATAATCCCAACTTCTGGATCAGTACATTACGGAAGACGATATGAAAACCATCCGAAAATTCACACTCGTTCATGAAACGTGGGAAAAAAGAACGGACTCCTCCCATGCAAACGTAGGAACGTGGTACTACAACAAGCCGGCAGATGTCCGGAAAAAGATACGACGTCATAAATATTATCAAACTAAATATGGAGGCACATTTATCGAATATGAATACTTAACCAGCAGGTCCCCCTACGACGTTAAAAATGATTACAAGACCCTTATTCCTAAAAAATCCCGAGAATTAACTAGAGTTGGACAAAAGCTATTCCAACAGTCCATCGAGGCTTTTGTGTATTCCGTTCTAGGGGAGCAGGCTAAAACCAGATGGAGCATTATGGGACATCACACCGATTCCCACCGCGGAAAATCTTAGACCGCTGATAGGGAATTAACCAGCTCCAAGACAGAAGTCCGACAGTCAAAATATTACCCTTGGTATGATAGCGGTAACATCCTTCGGACTTGGGTATTTAGTATTTCAACGTTAAATAAAATGAGCCTCCTATTCGGATACGATTATTTTGATACAACGACGGAAGATCTGAATACTTTAAAACAAAAATGAACAACAATTGGAAAACAACAACAGGGAAATACCACATAAATTTATTACTGCAAAGCTTACGATCCGTAAGCCCGGATCTTCATCAGTGCGAATAATATGTGACTGGTTTAATTCATTTTTTCATTCATTTCGTTTTAATTACGCGGTGTTTCCGCAAACAAACTATTATATTTTATCGCCATGCAAAGAACATACAAACAACTTAACAACAGGGAAATTCGGCAGAAATTGTTATACATACGAATGATCATAATATTAAAAAACTGAATGGACTCGGAAAAAATGTGATGTGGTATGATTTCAGTCAGATTCCAGGTTATCCACCCGCATTTTTACAAACGCCTGATATTTCAGAAAGTGATAGAAATAATGCAAAATTCATAGGATTTGGCATCGATGACGGTGCAAATACCCCGACCATGTCTTCCCTTCAAGGTTTTTCTGAAGGTAGTACGGGAACAATCGTAATGTTTACATGTGATCAACGTAGTAGAATTATTCAGGTTTCACTTACATTTATGGTTTTAATTAATTCTTGAAATTTACATGTGCAGGTTTTGGGTGTTGAATTTAAAAATATAGATTCTTCCGGAAATGTGACAAATAGAACAGGAACTACAAAAATAAATTGTTTCCTCCTAACAACATAGAATGTTCCGATACCCGTTTTGGGTTTCGGAAATTTAAAGTATTCGTATCAGTCCGTAGGCACTACCAACTCCCAAAACACCCATCGTCATCATCGCATACGTTTTCATTTCGTCCGGCGGTTGATACTAATCTTTCAATTTTAGTTTCTGCCGGGATGCTGAGTCGTCCATGAGTCTAATAAAATTCCTTAAATCTTCCAGCGCTCTGTTTGTTTCCTCAATGTCCTTGTTAGCATCCAGGATCTCGGCTCGACGTCGGGCTTCGTCGTTGCTACGCTTTACTTCGGATTAATAAAATTTTTCTTTTGCTTTCGCACGTTTTTTAATGCCTGGTTATGTTTTTTCACTTCTTCTTTGTATCTTTGTCCATTTAATTTCGAGAAAAGAAATCCGGCTCCGGCAAAGGCCACGGCATTAAAAAGTCCTCCGACTACTAGCGATGTCACTTTTTATTTTATTTAAGAGTTTTGTCAGCGCCTAGGGCACGACGAGCTAGGCTCTGCCCTTACGACACGACCTGACGTCATCCGTTTTTACTTGTCAATACTGATCGAAATGTAACCCTTGTTTTTCAGGTAACTCACCACCACAGCGTTGCCAACAATTCCGACAGTTAGTTTCATGGCTTCTTTTAAAGTCACGGGCGCTCCGAGACTTTCTCCAAACGCTTTTCTGGTCACCATAGACAGTCCGGCAACTCCGGCTGTTACTAACGCTGCGTTGTACAATTCGTTGACCACTTCCTTCTTTGTGTCGGTCATTGTGTTGTATTATAGCTAAAACTTTTATATTCGGATCGGTCTCAGTCGAACAGGTCAGGCCGGGTCACCCTGCGGTTTTTCTGTGGATTTACTTTCCTCCATCTTTTCGCTCTTTTAATTTCCCGACGATTACACCACATGATGTAGGGAGATCCAAGTCCCACAGTAATACCTACCACCATACCAACTCTCTAGGGTAATCGCCGTACCCCTTCCTGACCCTTTAATTGCTTCACGTTGTGCGCTCTTCCTGGCTTTTGCCTCCTGACTGATCTTGGTAAGCCTGTGTCCTGCCTCCACATTTTTCGGATCCTTGACGTGGGTCTTCGCCGGATTTGTGACCGGCATAACCTGAAGTTCAGGCCCTAATTTGAAATAGGGCCTGACACAAAACCTGTCTAGACCGTGGGACGCCCACATGTTATTTTTAGACACAACATGCAATATGATTGACAAGTGATGTAGATTTCGTTACACAAAAAAATTATCTTCTCATGAACATGTCCGCAGAGTGTGCATTTTGCTTTTTAGTTAAACTTAAAAATTTAAGGTACTTTTATATAATTAAGAGTCAGTTTCTCTATTTAACCGAACAGCAAACAAAGATTTAATTAGTCATTTCTGTGCACGGGCCAGCACGGCTTGACTGCCACGCTTTCTTAAGGTCTCAACTTGCTGGACGCGGATATACTCTAACGGGCTAACAACAGCAACAATGAAATTCTCAATCGTACCACGAAGGCGATGTAGCTCAGAAAACAAGGCCGGTAGGACCTGATATTAAAAATAAGACT